ATAAAATGTGCTTTCCTCATTTTCCCTAAGAAGCATGACCTTCTTGGCCTGACTTTCATTTTTCCACTTCCAGCAGTCCTGGGTACAAGAAATCTTTCACTTTCTTGCTTTCCCCATCACCCCACACACTCACACACAAAATACAATCACAGTGATAAAATGGCAGTTGACACTCCTCCTGTTTGGGCAGTTATAGGGAGTGGTGGGGACTGTGGCACACCAGAAAGCACATGCCTCTCTAAAGGAAGCAGCATCCATCTAGCAATGCTAGGCCAGCAGTTGCTGTGCAAGAATGAAGGTTCAGAATTGCCATATCCCCCTGCTTTTTTATACAAAGCCTCTAAACTTTTCAATGTTTGTAACTGTCTTTAAACACCATGCCAACAAAGGGTGACCGTCCAACTTATACATGGTCTGTGTGTAGAGAGAGACACATCACACCTAGATCCGTATGTTCACTACTCATGGGGTGATGCGGACAAGCCCTGGGCTCAGTGCTTTGCATGCAGGAGTTAAGTACACAGGATACGGGGCCATCACACCGTCTGCTCTGAGGGCTGTGGGCATTCAGAGGACCCAGGGCTGGACTGACTCTGCTGCTTCCACAACTGACCAGAAACTAGAATGACCTCCCGCCTGCCCAAGAGCTGACTCCCTACCTCAGCTGCCTTCTCTCCTCTGCAACGAGCTATGCCCAGAGCTTGATCTTCCCTTCACGCATCCATGCACCCATCCATCTCTCCCCGTCACAACCTCTGCCAGGCTCTGGGGCTACAGAAGTGGCCGAGACCCCCTCTCGACACTGGACTTAAGGGGAATATGGAAGGTGCTGTGGGGGCGGGGGACTACTTCCCAGAACAAGTGCCCCTTTAGCTGAGCCACTCAAGGGAGGAAGAGTGTCCCTGAGGGAAGAGCACACGGAAAGGCACACTTAGGAAACAGCGCTTGGCAGGGAGACCTGAGAAACCACACCCAGGCAGAGGTCTCTGCAGAAACCATTCCAACCTCACTCTCGGGCTTGGAGGGCTTGGGCTCTGCTGCAGGGTGGGGATGTGGGAGTCGCTTCACTGAATCCCAGGTGGAAGTGCTTTGTGAGGTGAGGGTGCCCTGGGAGTCCCAGGTTTGGAGCAGGAAAGGGGGTGACTGACGAGGACGGTTGAAGTGACCCGATGCCTGATAGCAGTAGGCAGCCCGGCTGCACCAGCCCAGGGCGGGCATTCAAGCAGCAGCTGTTCACTGAGTCCTTCTCAGGCTGGCTCCGGGCCAGCACTGTGCCCACACAGATGGTCCTGCTTCCAGAGGAGGTGTGCCATGGAGGGACACTTGTCCAGCCCCTCACTTAGGGTGGCCCAGCAGTGGGACGGGGTGGAGCTCAGGGCTCCCAACTCTTGACTCCGGGGTTGCAGCTCTCAGGTCAGAGCTCAGGAACCCACAGGGAGAGCCAGTACACGAACAGGAGTGGCTTCCCAGCGGGTGTGCATGAGCCACATTGGTGGAACCTCCGAACATCCTCACTGACTGGGGGGTTAAGGGCTCTCCCAGCTATGTCCCAAGCCCTGGAGGCCTTGGTCAGGTCGCTCAGCCTCTCTGGGCCCTGGTTTGCTCACCTGTCGTGGGAATAGTACCAGCTTCATGGGGCGCGAGGATTTGGTCCCAACAGTCACTCAGGACCCGCAGCTCCTGCCACCCTATCACCTTATTAGTGACCCCTGGGTCATGGGCTATATCCAGGAGCCCTGAGCTCCAGGCCCATCCTCACCAAATGCAGGGCTGTGGGGCCAAGGCAGGTGCCTTGCAGGGCAGGCTTGGGAGAGGCAGGCTGTGGGGAAGACAGGCTGCTGTTCAGAGCCTCGCCCACTTCCCTCTGCCTGTGCAGGGACCCTCCATGCCTTCTGGAGCCCACTCTTAAGTGGGGTCAGCCCCTGAACCAGACTCCTCTCCCTGGCCTGAGTCTTGCCCTTTATTTCCCCTCTACCTGTCCTCACCCAACTGGGTCCTTCCAGGCCCCTGTCACTCACCAAAATGCCCGTCTTTGTTGGGGCACATCCGTCCTACCCCCCACCTCCGAATTGCACCCATATGAGGAAGTGGATGCAGATACTCACCTGATGCCAGTTGCAGGGCCAGAGCTGTACCTGTCCCCTGCCACCGCTGTGGGCCCAGGCCAGCTCTGCTTCAGCTCAGTCTGACCTGGTGAAGTGTGACGCATCCCCAGCCTCAGCTTCCACATCTGAAAACTTGGGGGCTGGAAACAACCCCATACCGATCCTTTCTGGTAGGGAGCTCTCTGACTGACTCAATCATCGCTGGACCCAGGAAGTGAGGGGGCGGAGCAGGGGGGTATGTGCTTGCTTTTTTTCCTATTATATTTGGTAAATGTTTTCAGGCAAATGCTGATGCCTGCCCCACCCCCACCACAGCTCCGGCAGGGCCCAGGCACCCCTGGCACTGGTTAAACCTTTGCTTGTGATGCCCCAGGAGGACTGTTTCACTCTCGAGGTGCTTTCACATGAATGGTTTTAGATGAGTCTCACCACACCTTTGTGAGTGGGCCTGGTGTGGGGGGCGGTCACCAGCTCTTTGGCAGGGAGGCTGGGCAATAAAGTGACTTAGCCTCTGAGGTGCAGTTGGGAGTGGTGGTCAGTCTCCCACTGCCAGGACACTGGCCTGGCTATGACAAAAGCCTTTTGGAAGTGGAGAGTTGGGCGCCGTGGCTCTAGAGATCTGATGCATCAGTTGCAGGGTCTCTGGGCCAGAAGCACCCATACCCAGGCCCCTGGGACAGCCCCAGGCAGAGCCCCTGACAGTGATGTCTCTTTCCTGGAGAGGCCACCCAGGCTGGGCTTCCGATGCTGCTGTGATGGCGGCCTGTGCCCACCAGAGGGCGCCAATGCCTGGGGCCACTCAGCTGGGCTTGGCTCTGCAAACCCAAATTCTTTTTAATTGAAAATTTTTTTAATTCAAAAAGGATTTGCTGTTTGTACTTGAGTGCAGGTTTTCCTTATGCGGGAGACTGATGTCTTGAGTAAACAGATCAGGGCCCAAATCCACCTTCAAAGGTACTTGCTGTTTGCCCAAGGGAGTGAAAGGGCTTCCAGACGTGGCCCTAGTCTCTTGGGCAAACACTTTGGGGCCAGCAGTCCCGGGCAGAGGACAGCGTCTGTGGGAAGGGTTATCCGCAGCCTAAAGGGGATTATGGCGGGGGACATATGTTGAAATTTCATTTGGGGAGTTAGAGAAAACAAGAGGGGGGAGTCACCCTTTTCTCCAGCCAATATAACCTAAAAAGGGGAAAATCTCAAGGGCAGAGGTAGGGGGACAGCAATCTGTGTGCTGGGCCTAGATCCCTGGGCCTCCGGAGGGGCAGGGCAGGGGGACTGTGGACTTGGGCTGTGAGTCAGGAAAAGGCAGTGTGCATGCGTGCTCTTTTCCCTGCCTCTCTGGCCCCGATCTGAAAGAGGAATTTAGCCGTTCACCCTTAAAGGCCCATCTGTGGCCCCCCTTCCTAATGACCCTGTCTCTGCTCCTGGCCACAAAGACTGGCCTCGGGGCTCCCCATTAAGTCCTGGTCAGCGTTTGCTTACCCAGGCTGGGAAATTTCCTGTTCCCCCTCTGGCTCCCACCTTTTCTGGGGCTACTCCTGCTGGGGCTCAGGCCTCTGGCTATGGACATCTGGGAACTCCTGCCTCCATCTCCCTTCAAGGTGGCCTGGCTCCCCCATACCCCGGAGCCTGGCACAGCACAGCCTTACAAGGGTCTGGGTGCTGGCCCTGGCTGCTCCCTCATTTGAGAGGTGCCTCACCTCTGCCCACTACTGCTGCTGGCCCAGGCAGGCGTCTCCCACGCTGGCCTCAGAGCAGCCAACGTGAAGCCCCCCAGTCTTCCTCCCACCCTCTCAGTCTCTGGGTTCTCATCCCAAGTGCCAGGCCCTACCTCTTGTCTTCCAGTTTTGTGTGCTTTTCTTGAAATATCTCCACACCTGTCACTCCAGCTACCCTGACCTCAATTGCTTCCAGTTTCCATCCCTTTATCCCTGGTTCCATGTGTCCCAGCCCAGTGGCTACCCCTGGGTGCTCCTTGGGGATCACTCTCGGCCACTAGCAGAAATGCACGCATGTTCTCCCCCAGCCTTCTCTGCCAACTGTGTTGCTCATTTGGGTTAATGGCCCCGCGTTCCTCCCCCACCCCCTCATGGGGTCTCATCTGGCTCCAGGTCCCAGCACAGGGTAGATGTGGTGGGTGCTGAGCAAGCCAATGAGGGTACACTTCCTGCTGTGATGCACCTGAGCAGCCACAAGGTGGTGGTATTGTCCCAAATTTGCCCGAAGTCTACTTTCTCTAATGCTGCACTGGTCTGCCAGCCTCCTGGGAGCTGGAATCCCCAGGCCCTGACCTGTGCCCTGGTCACTGGAGAGCAGAAGAGTGAGTGGGCTGGTAGCCGACAAGTGTGCATGAGTGCTGGCCTGGTGCCAGGGGTGGGTGGGCTCTAACCTGCTGAACCTCATCCCTCCCATGGGTGTCCTGTGTCACCCAGAGTGTCTATCATCGGGAGTGCTCAGGAGGCACTTGACCGGAGCGGCAAGTCCGGGGTCCCCTGGGCCTGGTGGCTGTGGCGGCTTTGGGTCAGGTTTGGGACAGAGTCTCAGATATGCCCTCACCAGAGTGTGACTCCTCCCAGTGGGATGGTGAGGACTGTCTACTGGGTGGTGGGAGGGTGCTGGGCATGCCGCTGGCATCGTGGCTTTGGGCATTACCAGTGCTGAGACCTCACCTCGAGGGGAATGGGGCAGGGACTGAAAGGTACCAACCATCACAGACTAGTGGGCACCTGCAGCACCGGAGTGTGTCTGCTCCGCACTCCTGCACTCAGCACTCACACAGCTCACACCCACAGTCCCTACGCATGCAGGGCTCAGCGAGATGCTCGGCCCGAGGCCGTGGAGTAGCTGGCCTGCCTGGTGTCCCACACTGACTGCTTCTCTGTCCCGTCCCTCCTGCAGTATGAGTACAGCTTCCGCACAGAGCAGAGTGCCGCTGCCAGGCTCCCACCCAGCCCCACACGCTGCCAGCAGATCCCCCAGTCCTGAGGGCCCAGGTGCCACCTGCCACTTGCGGGGAGAAGATCCATCGGCCCAGACTACTGAGCGCCCCGCCTCGCCTGCTCCCTCCTGCCGCCTTCACACTGCCCAGCGGGGCTTGTCTGGGAGACTCCGGGCAGCTGAGCATTACGTCTTCGTCATCAGCTTGCCTGACATGACACCCACCTCTCTGGGGATGTTGTTTGTAACCTCCACTAACCTATGTGTGCTGTAGTGACCAGCGACTCCCAACGTGTCTGTGACGAGCAGCCATCCTATAAACAGCCCTACCCACCCCGGGAGTCACCTGAGGACCCTGGACAGGTGCTCAGACCACCCAGTGATGCCACCAGCTCCCTTCACTCCTGTCACCTGCCACTAAGCCATCGCTTTCCTCCTGGGAGAGCCTGAGGGGTTGTGGCTTTGCACAGGCCCCTCTGTGGCTCCCTGAACACCCAGCCCCAGGGCTGCTGTGGAACAAGGCCCTCAGTCCAGCAGCATTAAGTGCCCCCAACATTTCACGACCACCCTGAGGAACACGGGAAAAAGCAGCCGGTGGCCCAAGTGGACCACGCCTGGCCCCCTGCCCCACTGTGGACATCAGTGCTTGGACTCATCACCATTCCCACACCGGATGTCCTGAAGTCAGGGAGGACTTGCTGTCTGGGCAGGAAGGCAGAGTGCCCGGTGCTTGCTGCCCAGGACGCTGTGCTCACCCACTTCATACCCACTTCCCCCAAAGGGCTCGTCTCTGCAGCGCCCACGTGCTATCAGCAGTACCAACTGCCTCTGCCCGGTGCCCTGACCCAGTGACCACAGCAACTGGCCCTCCCAGGTCCTCGAGCGAGAGGCTCTGTGAGCCACTGCCCAGCCCCAGGGGGACAGGAACGGGGACACATAGTCACCTGACTTATGGAGCCAGGAGTTGTCTTGATTCCTCTGCTCATAGGAATGATTGTTTTGAAGAGTCCTCCTGACCCAGGTCACTGCACCGGGGCAGCACTGACATTTCTGCCACTCATGGCCAAGTAGACACAGTGCCAGCTGCCAAGTTCGACTCCTACACGTCTGCCATGAGAACAGGGGTTGCTGCCATGTCTGGAGGCTCGGGCCGGCACCCCAGTTGCCTGCCTTGACTGGCTGTTGGTGTCTCCCATCTTGGGGGGTAACCAGATGATTGGAGCTTTGGACAAGAGGTTCGGTGTGTATCTGGAGGCTGGCAGGCAGCCCAGAAGAGCCATGGCCAGGAACAGACCCTCCTCCCTGCAGTCCCTGGAATGGCACAAGGTTAGCTGGGTGGCAACAGGAATCAGCCACTAGTTAGGAGAGTGGCCACTGGCTAAGAAGCAGGGTGGGGCAAAAAAAATACCTCATGTACCTGTCAGCCCCGCCATCTCCAGCCCCTCACCTCTCGCCCCTGGGCCAGCCCCTCCATTTTCATTTTAATACCTCCTGATTTCTGTGCATTAGGGAAGCAGTTGCCTTGCCTCACCTCCCCCAAAACCTGAGGACATTTGGTGAGACTGGCCTTCCATTCCTCCCACACAGCAAGGTGGCAGGAAAAGACAGTTTGTGGAACCCACCAGGGCCCGGGAGGCTTTGGGGTGGAGACAGCAGTCCCCATGAGGACCTTTTGGGATTGGTGCTCAACCAGGAGAGAGCTGAATGGTCTCAAATGTACCCACAGGAATAAGCTAGTTGTGCTTCTGGGAAATGTAGGGAGCCCTGTGGGGCCCAGAGAACATGTGTATAGTGCTGCTTTGTGGCTGGGTGGCTGGTTCAAAACAAGTGACCTGTGTAACCCAAACCCAATAGGTGAGGTCCAGCAGGCCTGGGGGGCAGAGCTCTGATTACTTCTGTCCAGCTCGCTTGGTTTGTGCACTCTGTCCTTCTGTCTCTTTCATGCCCTGCTTGTGAGATCATCTCTGATGGTAGTGCCCAGCGGCCCCTCTCCCTTGACCAGTGAATGACCAGGCATCTCAGCAGCTCTGATGGGCCCAGAAGGTTCAAATACGACCATGTAGGACCCAGTGGCGAGGGTGGTTGTTAGTGAAAGGAGGAGGGGTGTCCACAGCTCCCCATTCACGCCCCCGGGGGGCCACCTGGAAGAGGGCAAACCTGTGCGGACTTGGGCAAGCAAGAGCCCTCCGCAGCATTAGACTCAGTCTAGGTAGCGGCATTGACTGTGAACGTCACAATAAACGGAGGCTTAAGACAGCCCAGACGGACAGCGTTAAGGCGGCTGTGTGGTAGCTTTTAGGCTGCTCCTAACCTTGCTGCTTTGGCTTGTGAGAGGTGCTTGAGGGTGAGCAAGTGGGTGGGTGACAGGAGGCTGGGGGTGGGTGCCCAGCCCGTGTGAGGCCCTGGCTCACACCTACTAATTGAATGACCTTTTGGTTCTTTGTGGGAGGGCACCTTCCTTTACAAACCATCTGGCCAGGTGGGGAAGGAGGGGAGGAAGGTTCTCTCGGAAACGTGAAGGACAGTGGCCTTGCCCTCAGCCCCAGCACCCTCTGTCCCCCTGAGAAGCCAGCACAGCGTGCCCCTCGCCTTCTCTTCCCTCTGCAAGTTCAAAATCTCTCTCCAGAGGTCTTGGTAGTGGCACAGGTGAGAGGGACGCACTCAGCTCCAGGTTCACCTGCAGATTTATAACAAGGCTTTTCCCCACCCAAGTTCAAGAACTAACATCTGCCACGACCCTCCTCCACTTGGAGAGGCAGGAACCCCGCTGGTGGGAAGCGACAGGGTTAGACCCCAAGCTGCCTGGCTCCCTGTCGGGAGGGCTGCAGCCTGTCTGCCGGCCTTGCTGATGACAGGGTCGGTGGTGAGAAGCCACCAAGATTGGGTTGGGACTGGCTTTTCCGCCTGCCCCATGTCCTTCAGAGAGGCGGGGGCGACAAGAAGAGTTAGCTCGAGCTAAGCCCATACTCCTTGCCAGGCATCAGGCCGGCACCTTAAGCACATTTTCTCCTGTCATTCCCCTCAAAAAACAAATGAACGTACCCAGATGGAGAAGCAGACTTGTCCAAGGGCACAAGGCTGGTAAGTGGCAGACACAGGATTTGGAGCCAAGTCCTCCTGGCCCCAGAGCCATGGTGCCAGCCATCCCAACATAAGCACATGCCTCACAAAGACCTTTTTGTGTCTGGGCCAGTAGCAGACATCCCAGCCGCCACCAGTCATGCTGGTGTCACCACACCCTCGACGAGGGCCCCGAGCACAGGTGAGAACGAGAGCCGCCTGCCCGAGCACTCTACCCAGATGAGGGCTCCCCGGGTCTGCTGGCTGCCCCATCATTTGCCATTTGTGGGGAAGCCCAACCGGCAGCTCCTCTGTGAACCAGGGGGCCTAACAAAGCAGCCACGTGCCTGCTTTGACTGGCTCACTGTCTACTGTAGCCCTGGGGCCTGCAGGAAGAAGCCGGGCACTGCGCTCACCCCAGGCCACCTGGCGCCCTGGGTCAGCCCAGCTTTCCTCACCTGCTGGAAACGTGGCCCTCCGGCAGCTGCAGCTGTCACCACCATGAGACCGGGTTCCTATTCTCCCAGCAAAGGGCCAAGCTGCTGTGCGACCGACTGCAGGGCCTCCCACAGGCCACTGCACTTGCCATAGGAACGGCATCCTCGCTGCGTGTATTTATTCGAGGTGACTCTTGTACTTGGCAAAGGGGAGTTTCACTGTGTGATTGTCTGTCTCCTTAATATAATTTGTTAAATAAATGTTTGTTTTAACATTTTCCTGGCTTGCTGCTGTACATGAAGCCACCCGATACAGCGTCCCTCAGGCCTCCAGCTTGTCCCAAACACAGGCTGGGCCAGCCACAGGCATAAGACGCAGAGGGCCGCCACCCCCCTGACCTTGCAGACTTCTAGAAAGAGCCAGTGGGCTTCTTCGCCCATTTCATTTAGATGCCTGGTTACAAGCCAGAAGAATTCAGAAGGAGCCCAGCCTCAGGAATGCTCTGAGGAGAAAATCCCAGTTGCCGTAAAAGCATGTGAAACGCATGCGTTTCAAGGTCACCAGTGCGGAATGCGGGAGCCCTTTCATCTGCGCCTGCCCCGGAGCCGCGTCTGGGCAGGGAGCAGAGGGTCTGGCCGCCGGTGGCGGACACGCAGCTGCACCGTTTCAGTCCTGTCCCGACTGCTCACCTGCCTGTAAGATGCCGGGAGGGGGCCGCAGGGCCCGGGACACACACGGCTGCTTGTGAGGACACGTCCGTTCAGGTTTCACTGTCAAAGCCCTCTGCCTTCACTGGTGACCTCTGCATTTTTAGGCTAGACAGCATGGGCTCAGCTCATCTCATTAGGACCACGAGGGTCCCCACAAGAGTGTTGGCGCCTCCGGCCCAGGCCTCCACCTCTGGCGTCTCTCAGGTCTTTTTTCCACAGCAGAGGGAGGAAAAGAGCCCGGGAATTAATTCACAAGAAACCTGCAAAGAGCATTCAGTGTGGAGTGTGAGGAGCTGGGTTCAAATTCTGCCTCTGCCACTTCCTGGCCATGTCGCCTTCAGCTCCTGACCTGTCAGAATGGGGAGAGTGCCCCCCGTGGTGGCTTTGGCTCACCTCGGGAAGTCAGACTGAGGATGTTTACAGGGCATGTAGCATGAGCAGAGCCCAAGTGACACACGGGTCCTTCTTTGGGGCTTGGGTTCTGTGTTTCTGTCCATAGCATGAACTGAGTCTGTCCCAGTGCTGCGTGACCAAGCAGGTGTAAGTGGTGGCCTCAGAGTCTGTTTGCGAGAGGGCTCAGGCACTGCTCGGGAGGCAGGCAGGCAGATGCCCAGAGCCCTGGGAGAGGCACCTCACACACTGCCTCTGAGCAGCAAAGAACGGAAATCCACTCACAGCAGCCAAGGCCAAGGCAGGGCTGTTCGCCAGACCCAGAGGACACTCAGAGCCCATAGCAGGCCTGGCTGAGCCTCAGAGAAGCCAGGGGGCACCTATGTCTCCTGCCTTGCCCACGCGGCCTCATCTGCCCCTGCCCGGGTGTCTGCTTCTCACATGCTCGCACTCTGGCCCTCCCTCTCACGCGCTTTGCACACCAGCATACGTGGCACACACTGGCCACCCGAGTGGACGCGTCTCAGTTCAGAAGATCCGGAGGCAGGAGTCCCAGGACAGACTGGCCGCCTGGGTCAGGTGACCCATTCTGCCCTTGGTAGCTTGGCCTAGGTGGGAGGGGAGGGGAGCGTGTGGAGCAGGTCTAGGTTCGGGTCCTGGAGAGGCATCTCGTACAGAGCAGGCAGGCTATGGGCGGAGAGGTGGGGGGCCTTCCCGGAGAGAGGGAGAAGCAGCCCCCAGCAGCTGTGCGGAGGAGAGGGCGGCGAGGTGGGTGGCGTGTCACTCATCCCTTCGTCCATCCATCCAAATAGCCATTCAGGTCCTGTGTGAGCACCTTCCCTGTGCAGGCCGAGCCAGGCACTGGGGATTCAGCAATGACATCCCTGTCCTCACGGAGCTAATGATCTCGCATCGCCTGTCCCTCCAACCCCACCTGTACACACCTCAGCCATGTCTCTGCTACTTCTCCCCCTGCTCTGCCTATTTTTCCAGAAAAACTGGCTCATCCCTAAAACTCAGGGGCTCCCTGAGCCTTGCCCTGGCCTTTCTCTCCCTGTTGTGCACCCTCCCAGTACCCGGAGCAGCCTGTCTTTAACTATGCTTAGCTCTGTCACTGGCTCGTCTCCCTGAGCTCCAGCCACACAGAGCAGCCACCAGGATGTCCCACCTTGACCTCAGCACATCCCAAGCCGAATGTCCCATCTTCCCCCAAGCCCCAAACAGCTCGTCTTCTGACTTCATCTCTGGAACAGCTCCACCATCTCCTCCCAGTCACCCACACCACCACCTGGAGCTATCTGTGGTCACCCCCATTGCCAGCTGGACAGTTCTCGCATCTATATTTGTTTTCAAACTCAGCCATTATTTTCTCTTCTCGCTGCTCCTTTTTTAGTTCTGGCCCTTGACACTCCTTACCTGGATTACAGCCATTCCTCTTCCCCTTTTAGCCGTTTTCCACACAACCAAGATCCATCTAACAAGACTCTACTTGCAGCGCTGTGCCCCTCACCCTCAGAATGAAGTCCAAGTCCCTCAGGTTTCCACACACCACCTTCCTACGCCTGACCCCACCTCCCATCCCAGCTTCACCTCCCACTAACGTCCCTCCTGCATTTGTGGTTCCTCAAACTCCGAATTCTGGGCTTCTTTGCCTTTGCATATGTATTCCCTCTGCCGAGAATGCTTTTCCTTGATTTTCTGCCTGGTAAACTATTCGTCCTTCAAGATCCTGCTCATACACCTCCTCTGTGATGTTCTTCTTGACCCCTTGGAGGTAAGGAACCTCCCCTTCAAGCCACTCTGTATGTTGCATATTAGAGCCATGGCTCCATTGGTGGCACTGGAACCATTTGATTCTCTCATGAGAGCATCTGCTCCTGGAGGAAGCGGTGTCTGTGGCATTTATTATACTGTGCTCTCCAGCCACACGTACTCAATCTGAGCACCCAGCACAGGTCTGAAAAAACAGCAGGCACGAGTAAACACTCTTTGAATGAATCCTTAAAGCAGGTGGGGAGACAGGTAGACCGGACTCAATTGCTGAGTCCAGGAACGGACCCCAGTAGCACTTGCTGGGAGGCTTGTGACCACTCCAGGGACTGTGATGACCAGTAGCCACCTCCCTGGACAAGTCTAATGCTAGCCCCGAAGAGACCAGAGGCAAGGTTGAGAGTTGGGCCTTCATCCAGCTTGTCTCTGAAGCCACCGTGTCCAGCGTGATCCATGATGGTGGGGTGGGGTGGGGGCAGGAAGATGAACTGCCATGGAGGGCTGGTCCTCTCCCTCAACCCCAACCCAGGGGAGGGGAGGATGCCAGAGAAGGAGAGAAGACAGATGGAGCACGGGGTCCAACACTGAAACGAGGAGGGGCTTGGGTCTCAGAGTGGGGAGCGGCAGCAGGCCAGGAAGAAAGATGGCCAAGGCCGCAGGTGAGAGATGGCGTGCAGGGAGTTGGCCGGCTGTGCTCATCTCCCCCACGTTGCCCTAGGTGGACCATTTTCCTCCTTTTATCACCAAAACAGTGGCTGGACTCCCTCTTCCCCTCTCACTACCCCTTGGACCAGGTAAGTGCAACCAGAGACAGGTCTTGGGAAAGGCAGAGGTCTTGGACATCTCCTTGAGGGTCTGGCTCTCCTGATATGGAGGACATATGGGCAAGGTTGGCACAGGTTGGAACACCTGAGGTACAATTCACCCCTCACACACCTCTGGAGGGGGTACAGGGCTTGCAACCTTAACCGCACATTAGAACTTCCTATGCCCAGGCCACACCTAGATCATCGAAATCAGGATCTTTAGAGGAGGGACCCAGGAATCAGTCATTTGTCAAAGCTCCCCAGGTGATGTCAATGTGCAGCCAAGGTTAAGAACCACTGAGCTAAATTCTGGGCTTTCACCACTTCCCTCAGCGGTGTGGTACCAGCCAGTGGAGCTGAGAGTCCCAAGGAACAGTGATTTCACAGGAGAAAAACACCAGAAGAGCTGGCCCACCAGCAGGAAGACGAGCTGACACCAGAAGAACTGAGAGACCAGACAGAACATGAGTTTAATATAAACAAACAAAATAGCCCCCAAGACATATGGGAGGACCCTGGAAACATTAGGCAGGAGCAAGTTGTTTCGGATAAGAGCCTGTCAGTTTTGAAATACTGGCAGACTAAAGAAAAGAAACAGATAAATCAACAATTGCACTTGAAGATTTTACTACATTTCTCCCAGTAACTGTAGCCAAGTTGCAGCCAAAATATGAGCAAATACACAAGGCCAGCATTATACTGATACCAAAACCAGACAAAGACATGACAAGAAAAGAAAATTACAGGCCAATATCCCTGATGAACATAGATGCAAAAATGCTCAACAAAACAGTAGCAAAACAAACTCAACAATACAGTACATTAAAAGGATCATACTCCATGATCAAGTGGAATGTGTTCCAGGGATGCAAGGATGACATCTGCAAATATACCAGCGTGATACACGGTAACAAATGAGGGGTAAAAATCATATGGTTATCTCAGTAGATGCAGAAAAAGTATTTGACAAACTTCAACATCCATTCGTGATAAAAGCTTTCAACCAAGTAGGTATAGAGGGAACATACCTCAACATAATGGCCATCTGTGACAAGCCCACAGTGGACATCACACGTGATGGTGAAAAGCTGAGAGCTTTTTCTCTAAGAGCAGGAACAAGATAAGAATGCCCACCCCCACCACTTTTATTTAATACAGTATTTGAAGTCCTAGCCACAGCAATTGGGCAAGAAAATGAAATAAAAGTCATCAAAATTGGAAGGACGAAGTAAAACTGTCACTATTTGCAGATGACATGGTATTATATATAGGAATTAAGACTCCACACACACACAAAATTCCGTGAATAGATGAATTCATAAATTTTCAGGATGCAAAATTAATATACAAAAAGTAGTTGCTTTCCCGTACACTAATAATGAATGATCAGAAAGTGAAAATAATCCCATTAACAATTGCATGAAAAAGAATAAAATACCTAGAAATAAATTTAACCAAGGAGGTGAAAGACCTGTACACTGAAAACTATAAGGCTTCGATGAAAGAAATTTAAAATGACACAAATAAATGGAAACGTATTTTATGTTCGTACATGGTTCGAATTAATACTGGAAGAATAAATGTTGTTAAAAAGTCCGTGC